TCGAGGCAGAGGCAGGGGAGGGGTCGAGCGGAGCAGGGGAGGGCGAGCGAAGATCAGGGGGCGAAGCGAGGAGGAGTGGATGTAAGAGAGGGGTCGAGTGGCAATGTGCAGTGTCATGGTGCAGTAGAGGCGCTGGTGGAAACTAGGGTTATGTATTTAGAGGGAAGAAGCAGATGCTTAGGGTAACTAGCCGGCTGGGGCGCGTGCTGGCTGGATGAGAAAGGAGTGGGGGTGGTATTCGGGAGCCTGGCTTAAAAAAGGAGTGGGGCTTCTTGTTGGTCGTTGGGAGGGACCAAGCCTGCAGCGTCAGCCGGTCTGGCTAGTGTGGGTAGCTAGAATCCTTGGCGAGGTATTATGTGTGTGTGAGGGTGTGAGTTGTTAGAAGATCGGCAGAAGTTGGAAGTTATACCGAGAAAAAATGTGCATAGTAGTAATCTCACTGGCTTCACGACGGCGTTAAGCTGCAGCTAATTGACTTTGGTGTAAATGTCGATGAAGTGTTCCCTGCCACTCGTGCTTCCGACCTTTCAGATACAAGCCTGAAGATGGCCTTATTTCATGAGTAAAAAATATGGAAATGGTCACCTCCGTTAAAGTTATCGGCCAGGGAAACGACCGGTACGCCATCGTGTGTTTTTAAAAAGTAAGTATGCTGCTGCTGCCGATGGTGATTAAAGGAAGCAGTGAGCCCTCTTAGGTTCTAGGGTTATTTTCAGCTAATTTATGGTTTATTATTGCGGCTACAATAAAAAGTTTCATGGTTCAATCACGAATTAGAAATATTTTTAAAAAATGTTTTAAAACGTAAACGACTACAGTTTGATTACAACGACGGGTGGCGCCACTCCAAACGCGCACGATCTGAGACGATTGCGCAAAACAACAACATTTCCAGCCAAGGGCTACAGACGCGAGGGTATTTCCCCTTTTTAATTCATGTATTAAAAAGCAAAAGGATTGTAAATCTTCCTGTATAAACGACATATAGTTTCAGTTATTAATATGGATTAAATTTGGCCCTAAAAAATTGATTATCGTTCGGTTATAAAATAGCATTTAAGGTATAAATATAATTGTGCACTTTTGTGATTAGCCACTCGGGTCATTTAGCCTGGCAAAATAAAATCAAATACGCAACTTTTTCAGGGTGGCAGCAGCGGTCGCGGGTGTCATGGCGCGCCAATTTGCGTAGCGTTGATGTGTAAATCAATTAAATTTTAAGTATTCTGTGAAGAAATACAGTGTGGCATATAGACATTTGTTATAACAGTAAGTACAGTTGTATGGCAGTAAAATCCCTAGAGGCATACTGTCCTTTTAAGTCTATTAGTTTTCTGCTGCTATTTGTACACTATCCGCTGTTTTATGTCTTAGTCACACGCCGTAATAATATATATTTAGTATATACGGCCCATCAATAATATATTGTACGCGTGTTGTAGAAGCTTTGTGTGTGGGGTGACTCGAATTCGTAGCTGAGCTATACCGCACGAGCATCAGCAGTGGGCGTGAAATTGGCGTGCGCCACCTCCGCGGGGAGCGGTGGATTGGCTGGCCAAGCTCGCGGGAGCGGTGATTGGCTGGCCCTGCGGGGCGTGGTCATTGGCTGCACCTGCGGGGAGGCGGTGATTGGCTGCCATCTCCGGGGAGCGGAGTCTCGAACCTCACTGCGTCCTCACGCTGCTCCCTCACTTTCCCTGAACTCGTCACCTATCCCACTAGATCGGCTCACGTCACTTTCGTTGAACTTATCATCACTACTCCCTGATTTCTCGCCGCTGCTAGCCTGACCTCCGCATCGCTCCTCCTCACTCGCCCTGACCCCTGCCTCTCGCTCAGTCACTCTCCGTCGCGCGCTCACCTCTCATGACCTCGCTCTCCCAGGCTGCTCCCTCTCTCTCTCCTTCTCTCCTGCTCTCTCCTTCATCTCCCTCTCTCTCCGCTCAACTCTCTCCTCCTCATCGGCTCACTCTTCGTCGGACTCTCCCTAACTCTCCCTGAACTGTGTTCTCGCAGGCTGAGGAATGTATACAAGCGACTGGAGATCTCGGCAGAACAAGCGTTTCTAGGCTGCAAGATCGAACGTGTCCGCTCTACACTGCTGCGATGTTGAGGACAACGAGTTTCGCCCCTTGAGGCGGACTGCGACGAGTACCACGCGAAGGCGAACGCGCCGCCTCTTCGTCGGCGACGACTCGAGAAGGACATCAACCGCCAACTGATCTTAAGAAGGCACTTTGACACGTTCGGCGAAATCATTGTGAGTGGCGCCCTCGTAGCGGAGCGACTTCAAGGTGTTTATTTCGGCGCGGCCGTCGTATTCGTGGAGGTTGATCGAGCGGCGACAGCCTGCTGGTTGTCTTTACCTAGCAGCGCAGACAGGGGTCGGAGGCGGGACAATATCCTGGCATGTAAGGGATCGCTTAGTGGCCACGTGTTGTTGTCGAGATTAAATATGATATGTTAATATGTTAGGAATGTATAGAATGTAATAAATGGAATTCGAGAGGATTGTGGTGGCGGGCTATCATTGACACTCGCCTCCTTTGCTTGCGTGCATCGTAGGATTATCGAGCATTAAGAAGCTAGGGCGGCTGGCGACGGTGTATGCGGTTCTGCAGTACTCTGAAATATCACGAGCGTCGTCACGCGCGATTACGCAGCCTCGACGGTGAGCACCTCGCGGCTAACCGTGTGAAGGTGAGTGTGTCGAAGCGGCGCACAGCAGCGACGACGCGGCGACGCTTGGACGCGCGCAGCGAAGGTACGTGTTACAACGCGCGCAACGGCCGCTCATGAGCTACCTCCTGCCGGCGCCTCGCCTTACCTCGTAACGCTCTCCATCTCGCTGCTCTTTTGCTCGTCGATTGCTACGCCGATTGCTTGCTCTCTTTTGAGTGCTGCCTGGTAGTCGTCTCCGTGCTGTTGCTTCACTCTCTCACTCGCTCATTCGCTCACTTCCTGAGGGTGTTTGATGCATAGTAGTGAATGTGGTGGCCTATTGCGCCTTCTCTCCTGCGTCTTTCCTGGGATGTTTAGTGTCAGTGTCTCATACTGTGTGGGTCGCCGCTGCATCACTCGCTTATCCGCTAGCATCACAGACGCGGCTTGGACTGGCTGGCAGGCACTTGTACCCTTGCGTCTTCATCGTTCCAAGCAACACTGCACTGCCCTCTTGGCGCCCATCATGTGTGGCATGCCAACGTGTGCGCCTGTTGAGATGTTCTCCATGTCACAACTTGCCGTTCTGCTTCGAGCTAATTCATGTCGAGATAGCCGCGTTCCGTGTTTACTTGCTATCGTCGCCTCCCGCGTACTGTCCCCGCGATATACGCCAGAGCTGTTAGGCTGTCGACTGGCTAGTTACGCGCTAATTGATATCGTGCTCTGAATCGGGTCCGTGTTGTAGTTGCGGCGAACGCGATTGTGTCGCCGGTTAATGTTTCGGGGTTGCCCTTGCGTTAGCTAGCTGTCGCTTATGTTGCTAGTCTCATCCGTCGCCACAATTTGTTCGTGGAGGTAGGGCAGGCGGCATGTTATATCTGTTAAGCATGGAGTGAGCAGGGTGCAGTATTGTGCGGATAGTCTACTAGAGGAGACGAGATATGAGAGTGGTTGGCAGGCAGAGTTGGAGCGCGGTGTGAACCATTGCTGTAAACGCAGCAGTCAGGCAGGCAGCAGGCAGGCAGCAGCACAATACAGCAGTGACGTTAGTAGGCAGCAGGGCATAGTACTATAGTAGAAGTAGCAGAGCAGCAGCAGCAGCGGCAGAGTAATAGTACGATAGGGAGTAGCAGGCAGTAATGTAGCAGCACGGCAGCAGGGCAGGCAGGCAGAAGCAACGTAGAGGAGTAACAGTAGGCAGCGTAGAAGCAGTGAACAGTGCAGGTAGGCAGTAGCAGCAAGCAGCAGCAGGCAGTGACAGTTGGCAGCAACAGCTAGAGGCAGTAGCGGCAGTAGGAGCTTGGCAGCGGCGAGTGCCGCATTCGTTGCATGTTGTCCCCGTGGGTTTCGGGTTTCAGACCGTGGTTTCAGTGCGGGCGACGTTTGCGAGCCGTGGTGGGTTCAGTCTTTGTCGAGCGTCGTATGCAAGCCTTCACCTTCGGCGGAGTATCTGTGACGGGATGTTGCTGTGGAGGTGTGAGCTGCTGTGCTTGCTGTTTGTAGTCGTGTGCGTCCTCTCCGTCTTCGCCCCTCTCGGCCTTATCACGTGTATTGTGCGCTGCAAGCATGCCCTAGCACTGAGCATGGAAGAATTGTGGGCGAGGGCACCGTGGGTCGGTCGAACGTTCAGCGCGGGCGCGCGCTTGCTGGGTTACAGGTGTAAGGTATCTGCGTGTGTGTGTGTGTGTGTGTGTGTGTGTGTGGAGCGGCAGCTAACGCTAACGTGAGACGAGGTCGATGCGTCTTGGGCGGCTGCAAGCCTGTCTCCAGAAATGTGTTGTGTTGGAGTAGAGCGAGGGAAGTTCGCAGTGAGGAGAGAGATGGGGGAAGGGTGATAGAGGTGTGGTGTTGTTTGACGTGAGGACTGTAGACGGCGAGAGGAGTGCAGAGTATGAGTGTGAGGGCTAGGGTGAAAGAGCGACGCGAGAGAAGAATAAAGAGGATGAGATAACTTATGGAGAAAGAATTAGTTGATCTGGGTGTACAGTTTGAATGGGCCTTCACGTAGAAGATAACATATATCGGAAGTAACGGATTTGATCAGGAAATTGATGCTTGGGCGTATAATTGAATACGATAGCATACTAGGCTTCGCGTGATTTCTGTGGCTGGTTGGATACGTGACAGTAGATGTAAGGGTGGCAACGATCGCATTAGTATTTGGGATATAAATTGCTATTACAGGGGCATTTGGTGAGGGACTTCTCGCTTGCTCTGCTATCTCTCTGTCTGAGATGGCACTGCGATAGGTGGCGGCGGCGCAACGGACGGCTCCGGCCTGTCCGGACACTCCGCAGGCTTGTAGGACACACGCTTCCTATCTAAGCAGGGCTTCGCTTTTTTAAGTCGGCTTGCAGTTGACGCGCTTTGTAATACTCTACCTATGTGATTGTCGGATGTGCTCACTGCTGGGCTGTCGTCTCTCTCACACTGGTTCATAACAGGGTGGCGCAATCTTCTCCTGCATGCTTCATCCTCCTCATCCTGCATCTCCTCATGCGTCATGCCTCTCAATGCCTCATCCTCATCCTCGCTCCTCCTCCTGTTACATTCGGGCGATTCCCATCACCTGACCGCCGGCACGGGACCAGCCGAAAACGGCTCGTATAGGCTGAGCTGGAAGTCTTTGATCTAAAAACTAGCAAATAGGGGAAGGAAAAAGTGCGTGAAATGACTCTTCAAGGTGTAGGAAGGTTGTTATTTGTGAGCACGGCTCGAAGCGCTTCCTCCCATGAGGGAGCGTGTAATGCCAAGAGGCAATCCAATTTGGCATAAAGATTTTTTGTTCATATTGGCAGATGCAGGGCGGGCATCGATGACGTGCTAAATTTGGCCAAGGCGGTGTCAATCAGCGTGTGGATGCTGGAAATGGCTAACTAGCAGTTTGCGTTCGTTTGTTCTT